ATGCGTGTACACCCAGACACGCCGGTTGAAGTGTCACAGTCCAGTTTCGCCTACCGAGACAAGACAAGCATTTAAGAGCCTATGGGGAAAAAAAAATCTTTTCACAAACCTGGCTTGATTGCGCTGCGGTTATTTATATAACTGTTCATGCATCAGTTGTGCCCATCCCAAAATCTTATACAAAGCAAACAAGATGTTGCTCGATCACATTTGCCAAAGGTGCTATTATACCGGCAGTATGAGCACATGCTTATACTGCAGGTATAATAGCAATGTGTACAATTACTGTTCCAAAGTATAAGTGCTGAATGATTTGTGAGAAAATCTGAATATAGTCTGGTTGGTATATTCTATTCCCATCTAAACAACACAACACACTACAGCCTCTATGCGCACTATTAGTGGTTTCTACCGTTACAAGTCCATTTAGAGAACTTCAGGCTAAATTTCACAGCCTGCCACGATAATCCCATAAAAGGACAGATCCCATTTCCTCTGTTCTAGTTTATTTGATCAGTTACAGAGTGGACTTACAGTAAGGCTGAGCAAAACTATATAACTAATAATATCTGTACATTTATTTAGGTAAAATCTTAATCTAAAAGAAACGCACACAAATAGATGTCTTCTATTACATCACATTTATTTTCCTCCAAAATTCTGTTTGTTTCCCCCCTATTTCCCCAGGTAATGTCAACAAATTAACAACTTAGATAAGTGGTCTTAGCCGTTTGATTGGGACTGCAGTATAGAAGACATATGGGAGAGATTAGAGGAGCTCCAGAAGCAGCGCTCAAAGCCTTCCATCAAACCACAGAGGAAACCATGAACCACGGATACACAACATGCAGGAAGACGAGAGGAAGAGAGGGATAAGACGGCCGCACGACCATGTAAAATAACACATGTCTATGGAACATATGTGGAAATAGATTTTTATATTTGCTAATTTCTTCTTTTACATATTTCACATATCTTACTTACGGTGCAGCTTTTTGACTAGCCATACCCGAACTTTGTATATATCTGGAAACCAATCACATGTTTAAGTTGTACAGATTTACATAGTGAAGAGATGGTAAAGATGTAATCATGTGAAATGCATACAGTAAGCAGTACATTCAGAGACCCGTGGAGCAAGATGGCGCTCCATTGAATGCATGTCCCTCATATATTTTGCGTAGGTTGTGCCGCCACAGTGTAAAATGTCTATTAGTATTAGATAGCAATATGGCCTACGTGCAGGACTGTACAAGGACTCTACAAGGACTCCATGTTATGACTATGATTTGACTGTCTCTTTGTGACACGTATGTCTTTCGATGTGTGACGTGACAATGACTATATAAACTGTGCACTGCCTTTATTCTGTCTGAGGGAAAGAAACAGAGTAAACCAGTGGAACTTGAGAGAAACTTAAATAAACTTCCAGAGTTTGGCACACCACGATCCGTCTCTGTCTGCCTAAATCCTAACAGATTTGGTGGAGAATGCGCGGCTCGGTTTGTGCCATTCTCTGGATTGTTTTGAGGGAGCTTGCTCTGTTTCTTTTCCTCTGCGTGAGAGATCGGCATGCTGTGTCTGGGAGCGGAGATTCCAGCAGGCTGGAAGAGCTGTTCCTGGATGCTTCTTGTCGCTTCTGTCACTTTTGTTGTTTAAATTGAATTTTTCGACGCGGAAAAGATGTTGGTCGACCTCTCGAACAGTCCGGACAAAGAATTAAGGTAAGCAGACACCTTTTTTAATATGTAAAGTCTGCATAATTGGATACTAGCTAAATTTTGAGCTGTCCCGGAGGTCTGTCCAAATCTCTCTAAATCAAATTTTCTTTGTTATGTCTTTGTCACGTCTTTGTCATGTCTTATGTTGTAGAAAACAGGTTAGCTGTGTGGGTAACCAGTCCCTATAGGAAAAAGGAACCCCTGACGTATCGGGGTCCCTGTCCTTTGAAGTAGTCAGGACAGAGAGAAAGGAACCCCTGACGTATCGGGGTCCCTGTCCTTTGAAGTAGTCAGGACAGAGAGAAAGGAACCCCTGACGTATCGGGGTCCCTGTCCTTTGAAGTAGTCAGGACAGAGAGAAAAAGGAACCCCTGACGTATCGGGGTCCCGGTCCTTTGAAGTAGTCAGGACAGAGAGAAAGGAACCCCTGACGTATCGGGGTCCCTGCCTTTGGAGTAGCCGGGGCAGAGAGAAAAAGGAACCCCTGACGTATCGGGGTCCCTGCCTTTGGAGTAGCCGGGGCAGAGAATAGAGAATAGAAAATAGTTAGTGAAACCATGGTGTAAAATTAAAAGTTATTATAAAAAGGGAAATGTGTTAAAGAGGCCTTTGTTACAAAAGCTTTGAAATTGACGAATTTCAGGCTGATAAATGACAAAAGTATAAAGAACAACATCAGTTATATTTGCTTAACAAAGTAATCTTGAAAGTTATTCTTCTGTATCTTTTTGCCTGTGTGTGTGCGTCGCTCTATCTGCTGCCGTTGTCAGGGAAACGGCCCCCTCCTTCGCTGCTCTGGCTGTGAATCTGAAGCAAAGCTACTGCTTTAGGACTTTTGGCTTTTCATAGTTGTTATTCCGTTAAATTTGCTAAATTTGCCATTTGAACATTGTGTTAGACACAGTTAAACGTTTTTAAACACCATTAGGGAATAGAAGTTTTGAATTAGTATGTTTTTGAAACCCAAAGATTAGTACAAAAAGCTTTGCTTTTCTTTTTAAATCTGCTGCTTATTTTGTGAGTCCATTATTGTATCTCTGATATATTTCATAGCTGTTTGTGAGAATTTTTTCATGTATTTTTTATTTTAGTTACAAAAGCCGTTTTTCAAACATTTAAATTAGAATCTGTTAAAAGTGATTAATGATTGTAGACTTCGTCTAAAAAAGAAAGAGGGAATTAGGCTGTAAAAGTATTATATTATTAAGTTAAACTACCCAATTCACATGCAAGTGGTGACTTTTGTTTTTGTTTTGACTATGCACCTGACCTTCCTCCTGCTGCAGATGCACGCAGCACAGGAGCCTGGTCTAAAATGTGCTCCAATTCATACTGACTTCATTTGAAAAATGCTGCAATTATTTTAAATTAGTAGAATAGATGCTGAGATAAATAAGTGTAAAAGGGAAAGTCCATAAAGTGAAACCCAAGATGTTCAAGATTAAAAACATCACACAGTACAAAAGTACATAATACATATTTTAAAGTTTGAAGGTTTAAGAGATTTGAGTCTTGTTTTTTATATTGAGAGTTTCTGGTTTTAAATGTCATCATTAGTAAGATAATAAGTAATCTTTTATTTACATAGCGCTTGGGAAAGCCAAGAGCGCTTCAAAATTGTTTAGACTTCAGAGAGAAAAACAATCTCATTCACAATCTCTGTTGTTTTTAATTTGACTATAAGGTTGTTTTCCAGAACCAAGAGCACACACTGTACAGGGTCACTGGACTGCTAGACACTGGACAGCGCAAAGCCCACCCAGCCACAGGTCACAGATCAAAGAGCAAAGGAAAATGCCACCTCCTTGCCCCTCCCCACGCCACTGCAGAACTGAGTGGGTGTGAGAGAGACCGGGGCCATGAAAGAGAGGTATCTGGAGACGTGATGGGTGGAGCGTCAGGTAGAGACCTAGAGGGAGTTGAAAGTGTGTCTAGTTGGTTTGCATCACCACAGTGTGACCTTTGACACCTACAGGTGGTTCGAGGAGTCTGGAGACACAACCCCAAAATTCACATACATACACACACACACACACATACACACTCATACACTCACACATTCACATTTACATATAGATACATGAAAAAGTAGAACATGAGGAAAAAGCATTAAAAGTTTACTCCAATGTAAACACATATTTTTAATTGTCTATCACTTGAATCTTCATTTGAATCAGTATTTTTTGAGACCAGAAATGTTCATTTGAATTCTATATTGTCATGGACTAATTGACGTCTGTCCTGACACTTTTGATTTGTTGATTTTGTACTGTGTGAAGTAATTACATTGATTAGAATTAGATCTGATAAAAATACAAATTAGAGAAGTAAACTGCGCTTGCTTTTTGTCTGAGTGTAACAAACTGACTTTGTTACTTAGTGCACCTTCACTGAGCCACTTTAAATACACAAGTCACCTTTATAGCACACAGCACTTTAAGCATATTTGCACATCAAAAAGAACATTGCACAGAGTTGGTTTTAAAATATTTATTAAACAGGTCTTTCCTTTTTACCATGTTTTTATCCAGAGGTGCTGGCAGGTAATTGGCTGCAGCTGGACCCTGGAGGAAAAAGGAAAACAGTCATTTATTTTAGCCAATCCCTAAATTATGTGCGATAGGTGCAATGTCTGTTGAAGAGTGTTTTAAGTGTGTGTGTGTTGGTGTATTTTAAATGGGTTTGGTGAAGATGTATATGTGGGGTGTGTGGTGTGTACTTACTTTTTTCTGTGCCCGGTAGGCAAAAGGGTCCCACCAGGAACGAGCTCCCCCTTTTATGGTTCCGGGCCACAGGACCACATGGATTTTGTATGGGGGAGTTGGAGGGGGTATTTTAATAGTTAAAATGTTAATATTACTTGGTGTTGGTTTTAGGGCTTTTAGTATAAATGGTATCTGGGTATTTTAGATGAGTTATGGGTTGGGTTTTGTAAATGGAGTTTTAAGTTGTTTTACTAAAGCTAAGCATATTTTAACACCCCTGCTTTTACAACTTGGTTTTACCCAGCAGTCGGCACCAAATAAAAGGACCTGGGAAACATCAGTCTGGGCGCTGCTGCTGGAGAGGAAGCACTCCATTGGCACTCCTGCACTTTATTGCCTGTGTGCACTTTTGTTTGTATTTTTATTGAAAAGCCAAAAAAATAAGTAAAATATGTGGACCACGGCGACCTCTTTGTGGTTTTGATTATTTTAACTGCACTCCAACCCGCTCACGGCCGACCTGCCTCACATTTGGCGTCAGAAGTGTTTCCCACGCTGCAGTTAAAGGTACAGAATGAACACAAGACAAGGAGGAAGAAAAACGCCTGACGAGCCTGACGACTGTCCTGGATCAACAATGGCTGACCTACAAGGGGCACAGGCAAGTGGTCCACAAGACAAGATGGAAGAAATAGCTGGGATGATGAAGTCTTTGATGTCATCCCAGTACACTAGAGACAAAATGGTGGAGAAAGAACGGACCCGGCAGGAGCAACGCTGGAACGCTATGCAGGATCAAGTCCAGGAACTTCAGCAGCAGCTAATGCGGATGCAGACAGAGTGTTCTGCACATCCAGAACCGACCTCGCGGTCTGTTCAAGTCGAGATGGACACAAGGCAAAGAACCTTGGAGGCACAATCAAATGAAGATGATGACGACATACCTCGTTACCCCCACAGACCATACCGGGAACCAAAACTTCTCCCACTTGGTCCTGAAGATGACATTGAACACTTCCTCACAACGTTTGAGAGAATGGCCCAGTTGTGCCGATGGCCAGAGGAAGAGTGGGCTCTACGCCTGGTACCACTACTAACAGGCAAAGCCCGAAGAGCCTATGTTTTGATGGACATGATTGACACAGAGGACTATGAAAAAGTTAAGGAGGCCATCTTGGAAAAATATGAAATCACTTCTGAAACATACCGCCGCCGCTTCAGATCCCTGAAGATCGAGCCGAACGAGACGCCCAAGGAGCTGTATGTCCGCCTGAAAGAGCTGTTTATGAGATGGATTCAGCCGGAGAGGACAACAATCAAAGCGATGTGTGAGAAGCTAATCCTGGAACAGTTCCTACGTATGGTCAGTCCGGAGCTGGAGATCTGGATCAAGGAGCACGATCCCAACACAGCAGAGGAAGCTGCACGATTGGCCGAGGTCTTCACATCGGCACGGAAAGGGAGCAGACCCACGTCCTACGCCCAAGAACCTCGCCAGCTCATGCCACGTAAGTCCTTTGGGGATGATGGGGGTGGTCCTTCCCAGAGTAGAGCCAATAGCGGTAGGCTAAATGCACCGATGCACCAGTCACGTTCAGTTAAAGAGCCCTTGAGACCACAAGATTTTAGGTGCTACAATTGTAATGAGCCTGGTCACAGTCAGCGCTTTTGCCCAGTCCTTAAAACCAAGCAATCCCTACTGTGTTCTGTACCTAGGCCAGCAACGGCTCAGACAGAGCAGAGGAGGGGGCGCACAACCCCAGTTCTTGTGAATGGCCACTGTGCAGAGGCACTGTTAGATTCTGGGTGTTTTCAGACTGTAGTACGGTCCTCTTTGGTTCCGCTTGAGCGGCAGTCACCTGAAAAAGCTCGGCTCATCTGTATCCATGGGGACGAGCACAACTACCCTACAGGAGAGGTTTATCTTACGGTGGGGGGGCAAACTTACTTGGTTAATGTGGCGTTAGCTAAAAACTTGCCTTTCGCAGTTATCCTAGGAAACGACATCCCGACTCTCCCTGATCTGATTATTCAAGCAGATAGCGGGCACTCAGAAATGTGTTCAGTGATTGCTTCAAACCCCTGCTTTCAATCCCCCCCAGAACCTGCTAAACCCTGTAACATTCTCACCAGAGCTCAGATAGCCAGGGGAATTTGTGAGGAGCTGCCTTTTTGTGACGAGGAGCTTGCTCAACCTTGCAAAGCTAGAAAGCCCAGAGCCCAAAAGAGAAGGGAAAAGTTTGTTGGCTCACAGAAAGAGAAAGAGGAGCTTTCTAAACCCCTGAGTCCGGTGGAATTTTGCATCCCATCAGACATTGGGGCTCTGCAAAAGGAGGACTCTACACTAAAGCCCTGGTTTGACAAAGTGGAAGAACGGGAGGGAGTGAAAACAGGAAAAGGTAGCCAGTTAGATGAAGTCAGCTATGTAATAAAAAATGATTTACTTTACCAGATCAAAGACAAGAGTGAAGCTTTAGCCTTGCCTGACCAATTTCGAATCAAAGTGATGGAGCTGGGTCATTCAGTCCCATGGGCAGGTCACATGGCGTTTCAAAAGACACTAAGACGAATTGGCAACCGCTTTGCATGGCCTGGAATGTTTTCTCAAGTTTCCAAATTTTGCAGTTCCTGTGAGATTTGCCAGCTAACTTCAAAAAGAGGAGTAGCTCAGGCCCAGCTCCAGCCACTTCCGATCATTGAAACTCCTTTTGAAAGAATAGGTATGGACATTGTAGGTCCCCTGGAAAGGAGCTCGGCAGGAAACCGGTACATTTTGGTCATATCAGACTATGCCACACGTTACCCTGAGGCCTTTGCTCTCAAAGCAATTAAAGCTAAACAAGTTGCTAACTGTCTTTTGCAACTCTTCTCAAGAGTAGGAATAGCTAAAGAAATACTCACAGATTGTGGCACAAATTTCCTGTCAAAGCTCCTCTCGCAGGTTTACCAGTTGCTTGGGGTAAAGGGAATTCGGACCACTCCGTATCATCCCCAAACGGACGGTTTGGTGGAGCGATACAACCAGACATTAAAATCTATGCTGCGCAAGTTTGTCTCCTCTACAGGCAAGGACTGGGACCAGTGGCTTCCATATCTGCTCTTTGCTTACCGGGAGATCCCACAATCGTCGACAGGCTTCTCACCTTTCGAGTTGCTGTATGGACGCCAGGTGAGAGGACCCCTGGACTTGCTGAAAGAGCACTGGGAGCGCAAAGAGCCTGAAGGAGACAATGTGGCAGCCTACGTACTCAAGATGAGGGAGAGGCTTGAGTCGATGGCAGCTCTGGCACAAGAGAATCTCAAGGCAGCACAAACCTCCCAGAAAGCCTGGTACGACCGGAAGGCAAGGGACCGAGCCTTTACACCAGGTCAAAAGGTACTGTTACTTTTACCTACCAGTGAAAACAAACTGCTCGCTAAATGGCATGGACCTTATGAAATAACAAAACGGATCAGTAATGTCACATACGAACTGTTTATGCCAGAGAGACTTAAAAAGAAACAGAAATTTCACATTAATCTTCTGAAAGAATTCATTGTCCGCCAGGAGCCTTCTCAGCAGTTTTTGGTGCGTGCTGTGAAAGATGAGGAGATTACAGAAAAGTTCTTCCCTGTCCCTCCCAAAGAGCCAGCTGCCATTGACCTTTCTCACCTCTCTCCCCCTCAGCAGGACGAGATAAAACCTTTCTTGAACCCAGGTCTGTTCCAGGAGACGCCTGGCTTTACGTCACTGGTCCAACATCAGATCCACCTCAAGCAGGAAGCTCCAAAGAGACAGAGGAGCTACAGGATCCCAGAGCGGTTGGTGCCAGTGCTAAAGAAAGAAATTGAACTCATGCTTGATCTGGGAATTATTGAAGTGTCAAATAGTGAATGGTGTAGCCCTGTTGTACTTGTGCCAAAAAAGGATGGATCTCTGCGTTTTTGTATCGATTTCAGATACCTGAACGCCATCTCGAGCTTTGACCCCTACCCAATGCCCCGCATCGATGAACTTCTGGAGCGCGTGGGCAGAGCAGCCTACATCACCACGCTGGACCTTTCCAGAGGCTACTGGCAGTTGGCACTGGCACCAGAGGCAAGAGAGCTGACGGCCTTCAAAACACCGTTCGGCCTCTATCAGTTCAGAGTCATGCCCTTTGGACTGCAGGGAGCCCCAGCCACATTTCAAAGGCTGATGGACCATGTGCTCCGGGATGTGTCAAAATTTTCAGCCGCATACTTAGATGATGTGGTGATCTACAGTGAATCCTGGGAGGAACATCTCTGCCACCTCCAGGAAGTCCTGCAGAGAATCCAGGCTGCCGGACTGACCATCAACCCCAAAAAGTGTGCAGTGGCCCATAGGGAAGTGGAGTATCTAGGATACACCATTGGATATGGACGGATTACCCCTCAAGTGCAGAAGATGGAGGCCATCCAATCCTTCCCGGTGCCCACGACAAAAAGAAAGGTCAGGGGGTTCATAGGACTGGTTGGATGGTACAGGAAGTTCATTCCCCAGTTTGCGGAGAGAACGGCTATCCTCAATGACCTGACAAAGAACTCTGCCCCAAACAAGGTTCACTGGACTGAGGCTTGCGAAGAAGCCTTTTCTGACCTGAAGGAGGCTATTTGCACCCGTCCAGTCCTCCAAAGCCCTAATTTTGATAAGCCTTTTGTCCTCCAAACAGATGCTTCTGGGGTGGGACTAGGAGCAGTCCTCCTCCAGGAGAAGGATGGGGAACGAAGGCCTGTTGTCTTCCTGAGTCGGCGGCTGCTGGACCGGGAGACTCGCTACTCGGCAGTGGAGAAGGAATGTTTGGCGATGAAGTGGGCGATTGACTCCCTGCGCTACTACCTGCTTGGAAGGCACTTCATCCTGGAAACAGATCACCGGGCACTTCAGTGGCTACACCGCATGAGAGAGGCAAATACCCGCATCGCTGGATGGTACCTGGCCCTCCAACCCTATAACTTCACGGTCCAATACAGGCCAGGCAAGACAAACATTGTAGCTGATTTCCTGTCTAGACGTGAAGAAGAATAGGCTTTGCCTTCGAGAGGAGGGGGGAAATGTAACAAACTGACTTTGTTACTTAGTGCACCTTCACTGAGCCACTTTAAATACACAAGTCACCTTTATAGCACACAGCACTTTAAGCATATTTGCACATCAAAAAGAACATTGCACAGAGTTGGTTTTAAAATATTTATTAAACAGGTCTTTCCTTTTTACCATGTTTTTATCCAGAGGTGCTGGCAGGTAATTGGCTGCAGCTGGACCCTGGAGGAAAAAGGAAAACAGTCATTTATTTTAGCCAATCCCTAAATTATGTGCGATAGGTGCAATATCTGTTGAAGAGTGTTTTAAGTGTGTGTGTGTTGGTGTATTTTAAATGGGTTTGGTGAAGATGTATATGTGGGGTGTGTGGTGTGTACTTACTTTTTTCTGTGTCCGGTAGGCAAAAGGGTCCCACCAGGAACGAGCTCCCCCTTTTATGGTTCCGGGCCACAGGACCACATGGATTTTGTATGGGGGAGTTGGAGGGGGTATTTTAATAGTTAAAATGTTAATATTACTTGGTGTTGGTTTTAGGGCTTTTAGTATAAATGGTATCTGGGTATTTTAGATGAGTTATGGGTTGGGTTTTGTAAATGGAGTTTTAAGTTGTTTTACTAAAGCTAAGCATATTTTAACACCCCTGCTTTTACAACTTGGTTTTACCCAGCAGTCGGCACCAAATAAAAGGACCTGGGAAACATCAGTCTGGGCGCTGCTGCTGGAGAGGAAGCACTCCATTGGCACTCCTGCACTTTATTGCCTGTGTGCACTTTTGTTTGTATTTTTATTGAAAAGCCAAAAAAATAAGTAAAATATGTGGACCACGGCGACCTCTTTGTGGTTTTGATTATTTTAACTGCACTCCAACCCGCTCACGGCCGACCTGCCTCACACTGAGAGACATTAGCAACAGCATGAATAGAAATTGTGTTACAGTAGAATCAAAGTGACTTAACCATAGAGAGTAACTATTGCATAACAAGCTGTGTACAGGAACTGAGACACTGCACCATTGACCAGAAGTGCATCGCAAATGACCTGATGTGCTTCAAGTGAAAAGACTGTATCTGGAGATCTGATGTGCATCTGGAGACCAGAACCAGAACCATGGCTTGGACCCTACTGATGTCCAAGATGACCTGACCTGATGACGACTGAGACTCACCCTCAGAGGACCCTGAGGACCTGAGGATCTGAGGACCTGAGAGAAAACTGGGGAGTGATGTTTATATTTTTGAAATCATACATTGATGAGTGCTAAATGAGAGAGATACTCATGATTCTTTCTTTTGTTTTTGTTTGTCCCTAGCTTCTGGACATCTGATGATCTATTGGACACAGCGATTTGCAGAACAAGAACCAGCCAATGAAAAACGTCTATTGCCGATGCTTTTGCTACAACCAGAACCACAACTGTGACAAATGCAATATACATGTTAAGTATTCAGACATCTGACAGACAAAAACTTTTAAAATGATAAAGTATAAGTATTGTAGCGTTTTAGTAGATGTTAAATAGTAGTAAAAAAGTAGAATTGTCCTTCCTTTGTTTTTCATAAACACATTTCCACATAAGAGTTAAAATAGTACCCTACAATGTTATCCTTTTGATAGATCAGCTATAATATTAGAATCAGAGTTATGTTACAGCCATTAAAAGTGACAGAAGTCACAAACTAGGAATATGCCTTTGCTCAAGCTGCAGCCGAGCTTTGGAGTCAAAAAATAGAGTAAAAATAGAGAAATAGATAAATGCATCAACCATAGATGCTTTCAAAAATAGAGAATATTCTTAGCCAGTGCTAATATCAAATGGTAAAGGGACCATTTCACAAGCATTTACTTCAAAAGTAAATAAAGTTAATTACAGTTTATGTACAGTTTTATTAGATACTGTCAAATTCACTTGTGTTCACACATGAGTGAATGTTGACAATGCAAAAAGTTCATATGAGTGTAGCCTAGATTAATGCCTAGATCAATGAGATAGATTACAACCAACAGAGATTCAAAAGCATTTAAAAGCATTTTGATGTATTTGTGTATAGCACAAAAACAAAATAGTAGATATTTAGATATTGACAAGTTTCCAGCACAAATACCATTGTAGAATAACTGACCCCAAACCTAATTAGCTACTATTAGGATAATACCAATTTGATTAATGATGTTCATTCATCCCAAATGCCTGACAATAATATCTTTAGATAATAAAAAGTAATAAATCACTGACCACTATAGAAGTGTAAATGTTGACCATTTGCCTTACTGTGTTCACAGTTTTATTCCTGAGAATGAGAATAGACATGGAGCAAAATCCCACTGATAATAAGCCACTGATAATGAGAGTATAAAACCACAGAGAGATTTATTAGATTAAAATGTATGTTTAAGAATATGGCTCAATAGAATCAAATATGCAAACATATTTGTAAATAGAGAGTAAAGTACACAGTCTAAGATTGATAAGTGAAAATAATACAGTGGAGTGAAGTGTAAACAATTAGCATTAGAATAAAAGTATAAAGTAAGAAAAGTGAAATTAGCTTCAAATTTGAGACTCAGCTCGTTTTTGTCTGTGTTTTGACTGAATCTGCTGAGTTCTTGTGTGTCCAATAGTGTTTGTTTGTTTTTATTTTTGATTTATTTTTGTTTGTTTGTTTTTTTTCCAGGATAGAGGATAAAATCCACTGATATTGATTTGATGATTATGAGTTTAATGCATACATTTTCTTTGTTTTTAATAATTTTTTAAAGTTTTTTTGGGAATTTTTTTTTCTTTTTCCACTTTATTGATTGATCGATTTGAGTGATCACATGTGATTATGTGATCAAAGGGGAGGGTATTAGTATTAGATAGCAATATGGCCTACGTGCAGGACTGTACAAGGACTCTACAAGGACTCCATGTTATGACTATGATGTGACTGTCTCTTTGTGACACGTATGTCTTTCGATGTGTGACGTGACAATGACTATATAAACTGTGTACTGCCTTTATTCTGTCTGAGGGAAAGAAACAGAGTAAACCAGTGGAACTTGAGAGAAACTTAAATAAACTTCCAGAGTTTGGCACACCACGATCCGTCTCTGTCTGCCTAAATCATAACATGTCAAACGCACTTAGCCTTTACCCTTGTGTTTTCTAAACTAATTTCAGCTCTATCCCACGTGACATTGTAGACGTCGGCTTCAAAACTGGTCTAAATCTCGTTACATGTATTTATATGTATTCATAGCCGGAATTCTGGTCTACTGTTAAAATCCTTTCTGGGCGCAAATATAGTGATAAATGGAGTGACATCTGGGTGAGGTTTGACTGGATACAGCACTTTCTCCATAACACTTTCTCAAATGCAAACGTGGCACATTTCTCACTGAATAAAATGCACCAGGGTGATTTGTCAAAATGACGCTGCCACAAATAAACAGCTGTTGTTTTGAAGATTCTGCCGCTTTTCACCGTCTCGAAGGTTAAAAGAGTCACAACTTAGTAAATATGAAATCTGACAAGCCTGTGAGCCATGGTTAGCGTCATCAGAGCTGTTTTGGTAACATCAGACTTAATGCCTTAATGCCTTAATGCTTAAGGTCACTGCTTCACACATTTTGTTGAGTGATGTCAAAATAGACCTCTTCCATTCAAATGTTAATTGAATCAGAATCAGAATCATCTTTATTGCCACGTAAGTAAGATGAAGTCACAGACTTGGAAATTGTTTTGGCTCAGTGCAACAGTCTGAAAGTGAGGTGAAGAGTAGAAAAGGTGTAATAAAAATAAAAAAAATTAATGAGAAAAAAAAAATCGGCACATGTTAAATTCAGGATGACAATTTTTTTTCCATATGTCAATTAGAGCCAACTTTTACCATCTTGAATATACAACCTCTAGAGCAGTGGTCTCCAACCTGAAGCTCAGAAGCAACCAGTAGCTCGCCAACCCCTTTCAGGTAGCTCCCCAAAGGATTCAGGATTTTGACACATGATCCTAAATTATGACATTTTGAGTATTTCCAAATCTATTTTAACTATACATGTTTTCATTATGTTCACTAATGTAGGGTTATACAGTATTATGGTACATTTTGGGTCTTGTCCATTATTTCCCGCAATATATAAACTAAAGTTGTATTGCAAAAAAAATAACTGTCATTCTTCCTGAAGATGTGAGACAGGCCTCCTCTCTGACAATGTTTAAAACCAGGTTAAAGACAGTTCTGTTTAACTGTGCATACAACTGAGGGATTTTATATTTTTATCTTTCTTTTTAATGTTCTGTGATAATTTATGATTTTAATGCTTTCTTGTTTTGTTCAGCACTTTGAATTGCCTTGTGTATGAATTGTGCTATACAAATAAACTTGCCTTGCCTTGCCTTGCCTTCATTTTTGTTCCGCAAAAGTAGCTCTCCAAACTAAAAAGGTTTGGCGACACGAGCTCTAGAGCAATCAGCCTCTTCTCAATGTCCTGCTTTAACAACTATAGATTATGCATCCTTTCCATTCCAAACATTATAAGATTTTTGATTTGACCATAACGAAAAGTATACAATAAAACACAAGGTAGATAAAAACAACAAAATAAACCAATGTTCACAGAAAAAACTGTCAAACTGTCCTTGAGCATCCCCGATCCTTCTCATCTAGAGTTCTTCCAAAAAGCCAGACGGAAACCTCTCCAGAGATCCACTGGAGATGTTCACTTCAACACATGGACATTTCTTGTTTGAAACTTCATAACAAAAAAAGTGCAACTAGAAAAGTACTCGTAGAGCGCAGAC